ACAGGTGCTACAAGATGCCCTACTCGTTTGGGAAGAGAGTTTTGTTCACGAGTGTAACTAACATATGTGACTCTGGGAATCTTCTCAAAAACAAATTAAAGAACTGCTCACAGCTTTTAAACAAAGCAAGGAATGGGAAGTTACTGCTGTGTGGATCAAAGTGTGATGTAAAATCTTTTTCCATACTGAAGAGTTTAGTTTGGGATTTTTCTAAGAAATTACACAGTGACACAGTGTCAAATAACAAAAATGAAGGACAAGGGACAGGATGGGACCCGTTGGTATCAATTTCAAATATTCTTGCTGTTGGCCATTGTATTCTACACTTTTATTCATAATATTTGAAAGCCACAGTTTCTCTTAAGTCTTGATTTTTCTCTGTAATTCCTACAAAAAGTAAAAAGGAAATAAGCTTTTATGTTTAAAATAAAACTGATTAAAACTGATGGAGGAAAAACTGGAATGGTGACAGTAGTACTTTGTATTGTATACTTTCTTATGTGTGGTGTGAATAGGGTCATTTCAAAAGAACCTGAGTTATTGAAGAGACTTATTGTAAATTCAGTTGATTTACAGTTAAGGCAGTAAAGGTAAGTAGCTTTGATTAGGGGAAGCAGCCTTGGAAAATACTCAAACCCTCAATGAAATTTTACCCTGGCATATACGATACACCCTGGCATGTAAGACCTTTACCTGTCCTCAAATAAGGGGGAAGAAATCCTTTGTGTTTTCATAGTTAATATGAAATTATTCCAGGCTGCAAAACATCCCCGTGCTCGGCACGTGGTGCTCCACCGCAGGCTGGCTGCACGTGCTAGGAGTTTAAGTAGGTCTGGCGGGGGCCAGGAGGGGGAAATAGCAGTCGTTTTCAGGACGCCAGAAAATTGTTTCTGTTAACTTGTTTAGTCACTTTGCATGGGGACAATTGCATGATGTGAAGGTGCCTGAATGCTCCAGACAGGATGGGAAACCAGAAAGGCATAGAGAAAGCAGAGCCAGGTAAACGGCCTTTCGCATTTCCACTGAGATTTACAGCAAAACTTTCATGGCTGTGGAGGCAGGAATAGGTTGTACCTCAGCACGGAAAGTCACTGTATTTAATTTCTTCCAAACCAATAAGTGTTTTTCAGCATTTCTTCTAATTTCTGTAATCCACTTAGGTTCTGCTCTGTGTGCAGTAATGAGACAGCTCTGCTGGGATGGGACAGCAGGCACCTACTTGGTTTTGGTGCGGTTGAGATGGAGCTTGTCTGAAGAGGTTAGGGTTTGTTTTTAATAAACTGGCTCTGAAATGAGAGGGTAAAAGAAGAGCAATCGAATGCATAGGTCACACTGTTCGTGAACATTGGTGGGGCAGAAGGGGAAGCTGTGGAGGACACATGCCTGTATCTTTTGCCCAGCAAGTTGCAAAAATTAATCAGGTTGTGAAAGTAATCTGCAAAATTTCCTTTTCATGGTTTTAAAACCCTGGGGGAGAGCAGCTCTTAGTATGTAAGGTCTCTATGCTAAATGCTACTGGGTTACTTAGCTTCCAAAATAAAAATTATTTTATAAATTTTCATCAAACTTCTCTTTTTGAAAGGTGCAACTGAAATCATAAGCTTGTTTTGTGAATTTGGCCATAAACAGTACTGCAGGTAAATACATTTAGGTGTACAGTCTTGTCCTGATTTTTTTTGTTCGTTATATAAATGTTCTAAATTAAAACAGGTTAGATTGAATCATGCTGTTTACTGACCTAGTAGTCCAGACTTGATCATTTAAAGTGTCTTTAAAATCATGGTGCACATGTCTGATTGATACATTAGCTTCTGTAGTCAGTATGGTACAAGTAAACGATGTAGAAATGTGCCACGTGCGTAAAAAAGTCTGTATCTTGAAGCTTAAAGCTAAATCCCTTGTTTATTAAATCTTTCCATATATGAATTTCATCTTTTAATTGGGAGATGGCAACACGAGTTTAGAAAGCTTGTGGGTGGAATATATGACAATTAATGTTCTCTGATAGCCTAAATGATAAGCCCCCCAAAAAGTACATAAAGCTGTGAACACCTTTTTTTGACAGGCTTTGAAGACTGTGGAGGAACACACGATTTGAATCATTTAAGCATTAAAATAGTAATACTCATGGAAGAGCCACAAGACTTACCCGAACAACCAGTAAGTATATTTAAAAAGGCTAAAAATGAACATATAAAACAAATTGGTGATCTCACAAATTCAGTATACAGTTATTTTAATTAATAATGGAAAATAAGGCTTATACTTAGTATATTTATCTAGAGGTGAAAAATCATTTTGCTGTTAGTGAAATGTGTTTTACATTTAATTTTCTATAATTGTACAGGCAATAGTAATAAAAAGAATAGTTATGTATGCTTAAACTCTATGATGTTTCTATGTAAAATAATTACTTGTTATGCTCAGAAAACCAGACTCTTCCAAGCTTGTTCTAGATAAATTAAAATTCACTATTTCAATGACAGAATCAGCATGTTGGTTGTTACAGTGTATATACTCTTTAATTGTTCTTGTGCTTGAGATCTTGAAAAGGAACCATGATCCATCATCTCCACAGGTGGAAAGCATTTTTTTTTTAATTTTTAATTTAACAGTGTGTTCGAGTAGGGAAGCATGTCTTAAGTTAAAAATTGCTGTTCAGACATCTTACATATTTACAATACTGTCTATATTATCAGTAACTGATAATATCATGTCACAGAAGTTTTGGGTAGAGCGATTATTAATACAGTATGATATGAATTTAAATTTGTATTCTAAAACATAATAGCATAGGAATTAAGCAAAAAAGTTTGTATTAATATTATATTCCCAAATTAAACCTGATGCAAACTCAACAAGAAATTGCCAAGTTACTTTGAGAGGGAAGCTTACATTAATTTTGGAGACCTTTTCAAATGCACACAAAAATAGAGTAATATGCTGAGGGCAATTTGGCAAAGTTCTCACTGAAAAAATTTTAATACTTTTTTAATGTGAGAATTTTATGTTCTTCAGTTAACTAGTTATAAAATACATTGTAATGTAATTTATGCAATTTTATGACTTAGGAACAAAGTTGAAAGAAATGGAAATGTAAATTTACAATTGTTCAAAATATTGCTTGACCCAATGTGCAGATTATGTGCCTGAGTGCACAAAATGTGAAACTAATCAGCAAAAACGTATAATTTGAACTCCAGATATTTGTAGAATTTAAAAATTAATTAAACGTGTGTATCAAAAAAGGAAATATCTGAATTAGATCCTTATATAATGAAAACTGTCTTTATAAAATTTTATTCTTCAGTGCATGAGAGACAGGGTACAGCTAATTTTTGGTACGTGAAAGCATCCTCTATAAGCAGATTCTGCTATAATTTTCAGCTGAAGATTTTCTTGGTAATTTTTTCCAAGTATGTTATGGCAGTCAGTCATTCTGAGGCAGAATGTGAGACTATATTGATCACAACTAGTAAGTGAGGTGGTATTATGAGTATAGTGGCACATTCTTGCAGGAGGAAATGGAAAGAACAATCTTTTTCGTTTTTTGTAGTGAGACCATTCCTGAAACAAGTGAATTTTCCTAATTTAAAAAAAAAAAGAAAACTGAAGTCAGCTTTGCAAAATCCTATCTGCCTAGTAGCCCAATGGTGATATTGTACAAATTTGTTTGCTTTCCCAAATGATTTTGCTTTTCTTAATCATGGGAACAAGATTAGTATGTTACTTGAAAAAATAATGTTTATGGCAAACTATTGATAACAGAATCCAGAACGGAGCATGTGGAAAAGTCATCAGGCTTTGAGTTCAATATATTTTACTTAAACAAAAAACAAAGAAACAAACAAAAAAATCGGGTCATTTTCTTGTGTTGGTGTGGACTGATGGTAATAATTGGTCCAACTACATGTAGTGTGTCTTTTCTAAATGAATGTTAGACTTCTCACTTACCCCACGTACTGCCACCTGGCATGTTAAACAGACATGTTTTTTGTCCCTGTTTTGTGAATGTTTGTTCCCTTTTCAAGTCTGAATTAGAATGGAAAAGTTTCTGTGCGCACCACAGTGCTAAGAAAACAGAAACAGACATGGGAAATAAGAGAGCAAAGGGAAGTTTGGGGGGAAGTGATCGAAAGTGACCTCCTGACCTTCTCATGACAAAAAAGTTACTGATTTATAATAAGTTACTAATCTGGATTAGTTTTTAGAAGTAATCCTGTATAGGAGTCTCTCACTTGTTGAATGCATTGTGGATGCATATAGTTGATTTTTATAATACTTTATTTAATCCTTAATGCTAGAAAATTACAAAAATCTCCTTTTTGTAATGGATGGTGAGCTTGTGTTACACCCATTGCAGACATCTACTGGGTTGCTTTCTGGAACGACTTCCCGTATCAGACAGCAACGGCAAGCCAGAGTCAGTGGTAGGGAGAGCATGGTGTTGGAAAGGGCTCCAGAAAGACCCAACGCTGTCAAAAGTGTAGAGAAGAAATGATGGTCATGTGTTTGGGCTGAATATTTTTCTTAATTGAAATTGGCAGAGTTTTGCAATAAAATGTTGAGTTCCTGACTTGTGTGCAGTCCTCCATTCACAACAGCATTGCTGCAGTCTTAAGTGGCTTTGGCGGCATTTGCTCCACCAAGTCATCGCCTTGCTTGTTGGCTAGCTGTGAGTGTGGGGGTTTCCCTGCTTCTGCTCGGCCTTGGGAATTAGTCTATGAATATCAGTCTGAGAGTCGGATTCAGTCATAGAGCAACTGTTATCTTGATGTCAGGAGGAAAACTTTGTTTCTGCTTTGATTCTGACTCTGTACATACAACTGAACTCCAGCGCTGGTAGATCTGGGGCAGAAACAGAGTTTCCAGCACAAAGAATAATTTGGATTTTCAGTTATAGAAATTCGTGATTTGGGAACAGGGATCAGCTAGAATGTGTCACTTGACTTTTTTTTTTTCCTTTTTTTTTTTTTTTTTTAAAAAAAAATCAACATAAGCCCAAAACTGATAGTGAAATAAAAAGATGGAGGTAGGAGCAAAGACATACCTTACGAGATGTCATTCATTGCAGTGCAGCAGAACAGCTTAATGAGATAATGTCTTAAGTTGCTAAAGCTGAAACCTGAATCACTGAGGTAGACCACATATTTTTCCTTGTTTTAATTTCTATTCTTTCTTTTTCTTTGTTTCTTTTTTTCTTATTTTTACAAAGAATGAATTCACTTCTGCCTGAAAAGTCTTCAAACTGATCCTGTCTTGAGAGGGGCCAAAAAACCCTGTGCGTCTCACCAGAGGTTTTCAGAGGGGAGTGTGTGTTGAAAGGAGGCCTTTGAAGAGCTTTCAGCAGCCTTTTCTAAGGCTCATGCAGGAGAGGATGAATAGGTGCCTCATGTAGGGTTTGGGGTTGGAGTGTGATCGTGCAGGGCTCAGCTGGGAATATAGCGCATCATGGCAGCACTCTCTCCTTGTGCCCTGAACGTCATCCTTAAGTTATTGTTACTAGGTGCTGTTCCTGCATTAAATATGTTTTATGACACGTGGCAGGAGAAAGAGAAAATGCTTTCCAAGCCCATGAAAGAATATGTTTAAAACTGTTCCCTCCCACTTAAATTTGTAGCGTAAATTGCAGTGATTAGTGATGGGTAGAAAATGGAGTTTGCATCCCATTGAAATTTCAAAATTGTCTAAATGGTATTGCTTAGCATTAAGACGTTAGGAAGAATTTCTTTTAAAAACCTGCAGAGATGGGGACTAGCCAAGGCTAGCCAGCTGAGGCAGGGACATGATAGATTGAAATTCAAAATTGCTGTTTTGCTTGACTTACGCTGCATACTTGCACTGTGTAGCCCATGCTCCAGAGCCATTTAAAGAGAGTATGAAACCCTCTCCAGATATTTACTGATTTTTTAAATGAAATTAACTATTGACTTAAAGGAAAACTCATTTAAAATACTGTTCTCTGTACAACACCAAGGGCACGTTTCTCGCAGAGGGGGAAGATCTCCCATCGGAGGAGGACAAGGCACGATGGCCTTGTGGTGTAGATACTCATCAAGATAGAAGTTCCAGTCCAGGGACCAAAGTCGGCAGAGCAGCAGAGCAGTGCTTTGAGCTCAAGTCCTGACTATCGAGAGTTGTTTTAGGAACAGCTATTCCATTCTGGTTGCGATGAAAACGTCAATAAAACTGATGTGTTCTTGCAAAACCTCGCTTCTTTTTTTGTTTCTTTTTTTTTTGGGTGTTTTTTGGTTTTTGTTGGTTGGTTGGGTTTTTTTGTGTAAGTGAGCTGATTTCTCTGCCTGCCTCCCATATTAAAAAAAAACCACTACTGAATTGAAGAAGCCAGATCTTATCGAGTACCTGACTGGAAACACGAGCATTTGTCCTGTGAAATCTAAAATTCAAGCTGCCAACTCTATGTTAATTTTTATTTTTATCCTCAATGTAATTTTGGTCTGAAGCAGTTTGCTATTTTTTCTGATGTGATTCATTTTTTTCTTTCTCCTTTCCTTAAGAACCCTGTGGGCAGTTCGGCACCCTGAGCTACCTGGTGCAGTGTTGGTGGCTGAGGTCCCCGCTCAGGAGCGGGTGGCAGGGCCCCAGGGAAGAGCTGGAGCACCTGCTGCAGGACAGAAGGATGCCAAAAGGAGTTGAGGGGCACCATGGATGGGCAGCAGCCGTGCTCTGATAACTCAGTGCCTGAGGGAGCTAGGGGAACACTAGTCTGCTTTCCCTTAGTGTTGTAGTTAACATCGTCTTTAGGTGGGGAAGACTGATGCAATTCCTTTACGCCCTAGACCTCGTGGCAATGGGGACCAGAAGTAGCGTGTATTCCTGGCCAGGCAGGAGAAGGGCTCTGGAGAAGTCTGTGAAGCCGTGGGGCTGAAGAACCGCAACAGGAGTTAATGTCAATGCCAGTGTTACCAGCTCTTTGCTCAGGTTGAAGTGATGAATGCCAGAAGATTTGAGGCTGTGTGATATCTAAGCAGTTGTACTGCCATAGTCTCTTGTCATTGCCTTTGTCTTTTTTGTGTGTGTGATGAGTGCTAATGAACTTTGTAGCATTCTGCTGTGAAATGCCAGAGGAAATAGCTGCTGGCAAGACTAGTACAGAGATGAAAGCAGACTGAGCTTTAAAATACTGGTAACTTCATCAGGGAGAGAAGATTGTCCTTTTTAGCTTTCTACTTTCCATCCTTACTGTTTGCTCACTCCTTTCCCCTTGCTGCTGCCTTGACCCTTTATCCTTTTTTGTACCTCTGCCTCACATCTCCCCCTACCCAACAGAAATTCACCTGTGTTTTATTAATTTATTTTTTTAAAAAAGTTTTGAGCACATTTTGACCTCTCATGCTCAAATGGCATTTTCCTGGTGTTTTAGTTACACTCACCTGAGAGAGACAAACTTGAATAACATAGTGAGGCATTTATGCTAGCGGCTTTCATATGTGGCAGCAGTCTTTCTTTGACTACTGTACCCAAGTTGGGGGGCTGTAATCCCTGCAGCCTGATACCCAGCATGTACCTTCCCAGACCCTTCCCAGTTACACTGAAGACGTGCTAAACAGTGCTGTCTGCTAAGTGCCCTGCGGGGTCTGGGATGAACCATGAGTGCAGCTGGGTACCAAAGCAGCAAGTTTGGTATCTAAACACGTTCCAGAAACATGGAAGGCTGTAAAACTTTCTGCTAGAAGGAGAAGGTGGGGGAACGAAGAGCCAGTATATTACAGGAACATCTCGCTCAAAAGACTACAGGCTATAGAAACTAACCCTGTCATCCTGCCGAGGATTTCAAAGTCATCTTTGTAGCCTGCATGCAGGAAGCTGAATTTGTGTTCAAGACAGTGCTTTCTGTTGTGTAATATCCTATACAGGAACTGGATCCAGCTGCCCACCTACAAAAACAAAAACAGAATAAATGCTGTATTGTTTTTACTCAGAAATGAAAATCGGAACTCCTACTTTATTACAGAAAAAATATTCAAGTTCCTATCTTTATAATATTTAAATATAGGGGGAAAAAAGCGAAGGATCCAGGTTTATGGCAGTTGTGCTGAATCTATGCAGAATAAGATTTTCTTAAAGTTTATGGCTGTTTTATTCAATTTCCATACAATTTTCCTTATCAGACTTTTGTAGCTGTATATCCCATCATCTGTTACTTACTTAAATAACATGGCAATTTTGCTAACACGTTCAGCTTTAGCACTTTTTTTTCTAATTAGGAAAACGCTTCTTTTGAGATGAAGAACCCATGGTGACACTGGTTAGCTCTGGAGTTCAATGCAAAGCTTTCTGTATTTAAACACTAATGCAAACTCTATAGTAACCAGTGGTGATCTGCTAACGGAGGTCTGCGTGCATAGATTCTGTCAAGGATGGCTCTTGTTAGTTGTGTCTCTGAATGTTTTTGTCCTTGCAGGTGAAAAAAGCCAAGATGCAGGAATCCAGAGAACAAAGCTTGAGGTACGTAATTTTGAATTTGATTTCAGTGTGGATATATTGTTTTATTTTTCACAGAGACAGGGCAAATATGTCACTTTTGTATTTGATATAATTTTGAGATTAAGTTCCCGTTTAAAAAAAAAATTAACTGGCCATTTGGTATTAAGCTTTTATAAAAGTGGCTACAGAGAGTCTTAATTGCATCATCAAGCATCCTGTTTTTCACAGAATGTCATGAGACTGTCATGTACTGCACATAACATGCATTTATTCTGGTAAGACTCAAAATATTTTAATAATATCTGTGCTATGACTGTCAGCAAAACTATGTGGATAACTGTTTCGAGAAATTAAACCCTCTCAAACTGATAGCCTCTTCTGTTTAAAGCTGTTGTATTGTACTATTTTTAGCCTCAGTAGAAGCTTTCTGATGTGTATCGTATTTAGGAATTAATCACTATTATTACATGTAGTGAGAATAGCTATATTAAGGTTTATTCTGTTCCTGTGAGTAGTAGCAAATACTGTGAAGAAAGATTTCTTTTTGGAGCCTCTGACATCCCAGTGTGAGTGAGGAAGAAACACGTGTGCCATTCATGCAAGAGTGGACATGATATATTGAAGCCCTGATGGGGACATTAGTACATTTTTTTTTAAAAAATCGAAGGGAATACTTTAACAGGAAACAGTGAGCAAACAGTGTGTGAAATTCATTATATGTCTAAAAGTTAGAAATTTGAGCTAATCACTACAAGCTCCCTTTCTAGCCTGTATGAGGTGAGATGAACCATGTCCTAGGAGGATTTTTTCTCTCTGTTGGCTACAGAGGAGCTGAGGGCAGCACGGGCAGGTCTGAACATGCCAGAGTGAATGGTGTCGATTCTCCTTCAGCGCGTCACCCTGCTTCAGTGCAATCACAGCTTTCTAACAGGCACCAGTAGCCTCAAGATTTGAGTGTAAACATCCTTGTATAGTATTTAAAAATAGAATGGGGGGGAGGGATAAAATTGCATTTCTAACCTGATTAAATATTCTGTTTAAATATTCTGGGTCTATTTTGATAAAACTATACATGATCTTAGGTTTGACCTATGGAATAGTTTAAAACAGTTTATTAGACCTATTTCTCCTCAGCAACATGATTTTCAGTCGATGTCAGTACTCTATTTGTCTTAGCTGGATTGTGGAAGTGGGGAGGGGAAGACCTGTACCCAGTGAGGGTCATCTCTCTTGGGAGCATTAAGCATCCCTAAGAGTCTTAACACTTTTGTGAATACAGTGTGCTCTGCTGGTCAGGCTGGTCTGCGAGATGCTCTCGGTGGTGCACTGCAGCCATGGTGCAAGTGAGAATTTTTCTCTGGGTTGGTGAGAATTGAAAAATTGTAAATGATGGAGAGTAGGAGCACTTGGGATGGATGTGTCCCAAGAGCCGCAGGTGCGTGTGTTGAGGAGCAGCAGTGAGAAAGAGAGCAGAAACATGGGCTGGTATAGTATGGTCAGAAACCTTATTTTATCTATTACATTTTCCACAGGAAGTGATCACAACGAGCAGCTCTCAAACTGCTTGCAAACTGCATGCCATTTAACAGCCACAGATTGACTATCTGTGCCACAGAATCACAGCATTTTTTCCCACCAAGAGTAAGAGTAGACAAATACCCCAAGTCTGCGTAGAATTATGTTATTTTCTTGCAAAACTCATGCTTTATTATGGAAGTCTGTTCAGGTGTTCAGTATTGAGAAAGATTTCCAAGGATTTTGCTTATAAAGGTTTTCAGGGGGAAAAAGCCAGGTTATGCATTTTGGTTAAGCTTCACTCCTTCTCACCAGCCAAAGGAAGGAAACTCACTTGCCTTATAACCGAACCCATGGCTCTCACTAGCCAACTGCCCCCTTACCCTGTCCCAAGAAAGCTGCACCTCCTGCCCCAGGGGATTATCTCCAACACATCCTGGAGCAAGAGGCTGGGCAACAGGAGCCTGTCACAGCCCGAAGGAGCAGTCCGGCAGAGGATGGAGCTACCAGGCCACTGCTGGTTGATACCACACACTTGTTGGCTTCTCCTTCCCCCCAGCCTGCAGGAGCCAAGTAAATGCCACCGGGAGTGGTATGTTGTGGCCCTGCTGTCACAGACTCCCGTGTCCACGCGAGGTTGCCTCACTGCTGGGTTTGTCCCTGAAGGCCAGTGTTGAAGCATTCTTGAACTGGGTGTCACTTCTGTACTTAAGAAATGTTCGCAGGTTACTAGATTATTTTGATTTGTCACGCACCATTTCAGTTGCATGTCAATGTTTGCGTAGAGTAGGAGGTACAGATAATTTCTTAATGAAACTGCTTTTTCCTTTTATGACTGCCTTATTGGCTTTAGTTTTATTATTGCTAGTTCTGCAACACAGCTTTACATGAAAGTTTTGAGGCGTCTGTGTATTATTGTGATATTCTCAGGCTGCAGTTTTACAAGGTGAAGGAGCCAATATAACTGCTTATTGCTGCTGAGAGGAGGAGTTCTGCTTGTAGCTCAGGTGTGCACCAAGCATGGTGCTTGCTGGATCCCTCCATGAGCTGAGTCTATTCAGTATCCCAGCAAAAATAACTGCACGGTTTTTGTGCTGGATGAGCAAATTAAACTCTAATGGAGAGCCTGATGGGTGCCTGAGCTGATGCAGGGGAGCAGGAGGCCGTAACCAAGTGGCAGAAAAGAAGTTCATAGTTTCTGCTGCAGGCGGCAGCGCCAAGCTGCTAGGTCTGCAGAGCTGTCAGGGAAGCTACAGCCTTATCTTGAGAGACTAGTTGGTGAGTAAATGTGCTGGAGGTGATGACAGTTTAATGCCAAATTAGAGCTGCAAATCTCTCTCTTGGGATCTCTGTGTGAAGTATCAAAGAATGCAGAGCTAGTTTCTGTTAAGAGTCAGTTTGCATCGGTTAGGAAGGTTGAACCCAGGGGTTACAGTGCCCAAGGATGTTAATTTAAGAATTCATAATGCTAATGATTAGCCTTTGTTTGTCCTGGCAGTCATGTGAGCAACGCAGAAGTCAGCGATCAGAAACCTGAATCTTCAAGCCTTGGTTCAAACCTTCCCATGTCCAGTGAGAGTAAGTATCTTCTGGAGTTCTGCTCTCACTGTCTTTCCTCTTTTCTTCCACTGGTCTTGTTACTTTGCTTCATCAAGCACAAGCTTTGTCTCCTCCTTGTAATCCTTAGCCTGTCCTCACTATCAGTTGTAAAGTGGAAGTTGCTGTGGTGCTTACAAAGCGTTAATGCCTGATGGTAAGCAAGTATCTCTTTCTAACAGATATTCTTGTGTCACTGCCCCCCAACTTGCTGCTGGTTACTGCTATGTCTTATACCTGAGTTTTCTTGAGGGAAGGGGTTGAGTTGATCAATAATAATGCCTATTGCGAAAAAAAGATGTTATTTTTATAAATCATTGTCTCTACACAGCTGGTTGGGTCTTTTGTAATAATATGCCATACACTTAATCTTAGACTCTGAACTGTATTGAATGTCTGCAGAAATTCCTTATGAAATAAATGGAGGGGAAACTGAGGCAGAAAATAAAAAGATTGCATAGTAATTGCAATTGCAGTTTCTGTGGGATTGCATTTCTTGGGGGAAAAAGAGGGCTGGAGGTTATTCTGAAAGTAGGATTCCTGTGTAGAATACCTTTGACTGTCCATACTTACTTATAAGTATAAATCAGCTCAACTTGATTGAAAACATGTAACGTGTAACTTTCCATTGCTAACTGATTGCATCTTTACTATTTTAATCTGTGTGGTGCTTTGTGATGTTGCAGTTGCAGGAGTTACCAGAAGTTTTGGCCTGCAAAATCTGCTGCCTAACTGGATAAGTCATTTACAAATTCCAGAAGTTGCATGCAGTAATATTGTGGGTTTTCTTTTCTTTTTTACACCATTACCTAATTCTTTATACGCTATTTTAAAAATAAGAGTTCTAGAAATACCATTACTACATTACTATTCAGATGAATATGACATTCTTTAAAAAAACAAAACAAACAAAACATTTTTGCATGGGGGATGTGAGAATATCCGACAAGTGTTCAATGAAAGCCTTTAGGTCCAAAAGTTCCCAGTTTGCGTTTCCTGTTGTATCCTGTGGTATCCTTGTGCTACGTGGGCTTCACACCATGAGTAAAGGCAAACACTGAGGACCAGAGGGAGGTGATTCATGGAGCATTCGGAAGGTTCAGAGTGTGTGGCTGATGGTTTGTATTTCTCAGCTGCTTATGTCAGATTACATTAAGAGGAGCTTATTTAGGTAGCAGAATGCAAATGTTACAGTTAGGGTTGCCTGTGCAAACTAACTTGCTCCCCTTAGTGGATGTAGCTGATAAGAGAGTTAACTACATGATGATACGAGAGCAACAATAAACAGTTGTAGGACTGTTCCAGACAGGAAAAGCCCGACTTGTTGCAGTACATCACTGGCATCTGGAGCAAATCCCAAGACAAAGTATGCTGCCATCCATGACCATACTTTTTGAAGGCTGTTAATTGAGTCTCACTCCAGAAGGGAGAGGGAAAGTGCAGTCTCCTGTCATGTTGTAGTGATGGATGATCCAGGCCCCTGGACCCATACAAGAGGTACACTATTAGCCTGGATCCCCTTCTAGGCAGGGCTGGAACCTGGGTGCTTTGCCTTCTTCCAAACTGGCTTCAGATGAATAAGCTGGATCCACAGCAGCACAGCTGTGTGGGCTAAGAACTTGGGTATGGTGCTTGTAGATCCGAACTGGTAAACCCATGTAGTGTGCAGATTTACAGTTACAAAAGTCATCTAGCTTGGAGATCACTGCAGCATACTGCACTACAGGGGTGGCATGTGCCAGAGAGGCTGTACAGTGCCAAATTCTGTGCCAGGGGTCCTGCACGTCCTTGCTTTCCTAGTTTGATGGACAGCTGAGTATTTATCAGGTCAGCTCATCTAAATCCAGGGCTTTTTTTTAATGGGTCTTGGTTGAGGCATACCAACTCAAGCCCCCTTCTCCACCCAACCCAGAATGCTGTAATTAAGAACTGTGATGTATGGGGTATACCAGAGCCATAGGCAGTGCTAAGTGAGAAGATTTTGAACGTTTCCTCCTTGGATTTGCAGCCTGAGTGACTCTTTCTCACCAGTTTTAGAATGCAATTGCTGCGGATTTATTCAAGCAGAAAAATGGAAATATCCCATTAAATATAACTGCCAAATTTATTTAGAGGTCATCTGAATTTGGACTCTGAGCCTGGTGCACTGCAGCTCCTCCTGTTGTCACTTGATGTGTGGGATTAAGTTTGTTGAGCTGGGAGCTGCTCCTTTTTAAAGGAAAGCCAGATTGCTGGAGCCATGCTCTGGGTAGAGTATGTAGAAAAGGGAAGAGGAAGGCTTGGCAAAACAGGCATCTGATTTAGTCTCTGCTCCAGGACACAGGAAAGAAATGTTAAGCTTGGCGCAGATGAATACCCTTTGGCATGTGCAAGGTTTTGGGCAGGGCTGAAGTTTTGTCATGAGAATTGCAAAAGATGACGGTACCAGCTGGTAAAGAGAAAGAGCACTTACAAAGGGAGAAATAGCATTGACTGAATCATCTACCTGCTGTGAACTGGCAAGAAAAACATTTTTGTGCTGTTTTAACAGTGCATCTTTTGAGAATTTGATTTGAAACAGATATTCAAGGCACTAAAAAACCTTTGCAAATTCTATGTCTTGGTTAAAATGTACTGTGCGTGCTGATATTTAATTGTCATTATTTGTTGGGTTTGGAAATCGCCTGTGTAATTATACAAACTTTTTTTTTCCAGTTATGACATGCACTGATTATATCCCAAGGTCATCAAATGATTATACCTCACAAATGTATTCTGCAAAGTAAGTCGAACAATTGTTACTAAATTCTGTAACTCTTACTTCTTGCTGAAGTTATCTTTTTGCGTCTTTGTGCATTTCTGTAATGCTGTAAATCACCCTTCATATCTTCTGGCAACAGATACTCGTTGCTGCGGACGCTGAAGCTGCTAGAAGCCACCCTTTGGCTTTAGTGGCTGTTGTCTTATGTTCAAAAGGATAAATGATTCACTTTAAGTAATTAACAACATAACAGTCTTGTTGAATAATGCCCATAATATTTGAGGCGTAAGCAAACTGGACACAAGTGAATATAAGGGGAATATAGGATTTTCTGGTCATTTACCACATTTGGGGATCTTAATAGTTCTTTGCATTGCAGCATAGTAGGCCTTAATCCCCCATGCTTGCTTTTGTGTAGTCTCTTTCTGTGTTCCAGTAGTTTTGGCACACACTACTATATTGCATTAGCTTTAGGATTTGGTGTTGTGAGGCATGGTAAGTGAAACGAATTGCTTGTGCCTACTGGAACGGGGAGTTTGCTCTTCCCCTCTCACCCTGCCCTCCCAGTCCTGGAATAAGCACTGGTGCTCTGGCATCATGGAGGAGAGAGTTTCCCCTGGTGTCACTGCAAGAAACAGTCAGCATATATAAAACCAAGAGCCTGTCATATTGGGAAACACAAGCAGGTATTACACTAAGAGCACGTGTCAGTGTGTATTGTTTCTTCTTCCTAAAGCAATTTTTTTTACGTGTCTTCTGGTTTGGAAGCTGAAAGATGCATAATGTAAATAGTTCTTTTTTACTTTTGTTCTTTCTTTTTAATAAGGCCATATACACATATCCTTTCTGTACCTGTATCGGAAACAATGAGCCCTTACCCTGGTCAGACTCAGTACCAAGCACTACAGCAGTCTCAGCCCTACACCATCTACCCCCAGACCACCCAAACCTACGGACTACCTCCTTTCGGTAAGAAGTAACTTTTCAAAGACTTCTCAGTGCCTGCAATTATTGTCTTATGTCTCATTAAAAAGCCAATGTTAAGTTTAACGAGGTGTGTTGGAGAGAAGAGTTGTAGGAGAGCACATGTCTAACTTGAATTGTAGATTAGTATCTACAGTACTGATGGGTCTTCATATTATAAAATAATATTTCTTACAAAGCTGTTTTCCTGGCCATTAATTTGGATGTCTCCCCATGAAGGTTGCCAGATCGTTCTTAGTTTGGATTATAATTTTCTCCAATTGTGGTATAGCTGTGTTTGTGCAGTTTCCTTGTCAGTGAAATCACACAAGACTCCATACTGTAGCATCTCTGCTGAAGGTTTTTTCCTTTCCTTTTTGCTGACCAGGATTAAGACTTCTTTGTTATTGCATCTTTTACCAAATGTAGATTTCATGCTAAAATGTCTCCAAGTTTACTAGGCAAATAAGTTTGCTTAAGTTGCTCTAATACTTGAGCCCTCAATTAGCCATTCCAGTTTTTGCAAATAATTGAAGGATAAGAGTCCTGTCGTAACTGAGCGGCTAAAGCTCGATGACGGGGTTTGAGCTATTCACCCTGTACTTTCTTTACAGTGCATGCAGGGAGAGATGCACCTCTGGGGTGTTGGCCTGTTTTAGAAGGTAATGGCCATCTTTCTCCATGGTGTATAAAGGGAGTTCAGGATGAGTAGTACAGACAGAAAACATCTAACTTCTGGGTGGGTTAGCTAGTGAAAGGAGCTGCCTGGTCTTTCCTTGTACTTTGTACATTAAAGTGTCAGGCACTGGGGAAAAAACCACATGACTGACTATCCCCTGCATGTATGAAATTTTATGACTGATTATTAAAAATTAACATTTTAATTTCTCCTTTCATTTTTGATGCTGCCCTGCATGTTTTCGTATGTAAATATTGTATATTGTTGCCAGCTCTCAAAAGTGTATGGTGGCGGAGGCTGTTTTGTCCCTTAGCACCTAGCTCTAGGGAGAGGGGAGACCACTTCCCTTCCAGGCAGATAACCTGGGGGAGCACCACGTTTGCTGTCAGTGAGCTGTGCAGCTGTGAGATAGCCGTGAAGAGTCTGTCTCAGGGGCTTGCAGTCGTGCTGCATAACTAAGTGAAGGGAGCCTCTTCCAGGTCTATCTGTAGTGCTAAAATCTTAGTATCTTGAAGTGTAAAAGGATGAGTTTTTCCTTAGCTGAAGAACTACATGTCTTTGAATAAAATCAACAACACTTACGGCTTTTGTTAGCTGCTGACAGAGCAAAGACTTTTATATAAATTACAAAACGATTGATTCGTCGTGGTATTTTTGAAAGATGGTGTAGAAAAGATGATACAACGAGGCTCAGTTTTATTAGACATAAGTTACATTACTAATTCTGTTTAAAGTAATATGGCACAAATCGTTATCTTCATGAGAAAGGTCAATATGTAAAACGAATCTACATACCTTTCTTCCTTTTTTTTTTCATGTGTACACAGCTAGGATTCATGAAAAGGAGTTTTCTTGTGGTTGAGGGATCCTTAGGAAGAACATGGTGGTTTTGTAGTAACTGGGATGCAAGGGTTTGATCAAACAGTATCTCCCAAATCTCATTTGCCCTGTATTAATGCTGAGATACATTGTCCTGACTGATCACTTGAATACCATAAAGTGGGAGCTTTGCAGGGTGTAAGTGTTGGGCTGTTTTATTAGCAACTCAAGGCCCTTCAGGAGAATAGGGTCATTTGGGTGACTGTTGGTATTTGCTGCTTCTGCATTTCTAGCTCAGCCCCTGCGAGTAAGGTTCAAGTATGACTGCCTTTTCAGAGATTTTTAAAAACAACCAACCCTCCCCACTACCTGGCATGACGGTGATCTCAGGATTTCTAGTGGGCGAGGGCCTTGTTGTCTCTGTGTTTCGTGTCCTGGGGAGCCGCAGGTCTCTCCCTTTTGTGTTTTCTGAGCTCCCTTCATTCCTCCGGGAGAGTTTTTCCCTGGAAAGCTGAATCAGTGCAGGGAGGTCTGATGCTGTGTCCATACCCAGGGCTTCAGCTGCCAGTGCAGTTTGTCTGCTATTTTTCTAAACACTTTGCTCCTTGTCTTTTTGCACAGTTGTAGTGTTGGGTGTTGTCACAACAGTCTGCTACCTACAAACTGTGCCCAACCCCATGTTACCGTTGCTGGAATGTGCTTGCCTTCCCTGGGTTTCTGCACTTTGGTTTCAGTGCCTTGTTGCACTAGTCTTTGCTATATCTGAACAGTGGCAAGTGGTTTTCTTTACTTCATTTATTTGGTGTTTATTGATAGTTTGTTGTGAACGATGCACTGAGGCTGCTTTGTATGTTCTTAGGTGTTTTATTGTGGTGTTGTTTTTTTTTAAAGGCAAATACGTGTAAGTATGTGGAATGCTCCCTTGAAGCGTTAGGCCAAGATGTTTAAAAAGGTGTTTTAGACTTATCTCTAAATTTTCTGGGGGGAGGGAGGATGTAGGGTTTTTGTTAGGTTTTATGTGTGTGTGATGTTTTGTTCGTGGTAGTGGTGGTGGCTGTATTTGGTGGTGGTGGGGTGTTTGGTTTTTTTTAATCCAAAGGCACTGGAATTTGGGGGTGCTTAGCTGCTTCGGTGTTACACTCTGAACGTAACAGTAGCAATTCTTCTGAAGACCAAGGCAAGAGATCAGCATTTTCTGTTGACTTCATAGGAACTTTTGTCTGTTAAACATCTTTTGAAATGTGATCAGTTACTGAAATGTCTTGGTATGGATTTTGAGGTCTATTATTAAATACCCGAATTTTTAGTCTGAATTTAAGTGTTAGGAAGATGTTAAAAGTCGTATTTCCAGTAGTGGAAATCATACTGGAGTGGTACCTGCTCGATCATACTGACCTTGCATGGTGTGATGGACAGGTGGAGGGTAAAGGACTGAACATGCACAGTGCAGAGGAAATTCTACAAATTGTTTCTGCTCACAAGATCTCCATTGAACAGGTGAGGACTTGGCCAGCTTGGTCAGATGTTTTCCAGCATCAAAAGGCCCGTTCCAGAGGTTTGCATGACTTTCTACTGTGTATTTGTTTCTGTGCCAAAAAGAACAAAGCAAATGTATTTTAAGTATGAAATTCAAGCAAGCTGACAAACACAAGCATAGTCTTGAGATGACTCAGGTCAGGATGCTGCTTTCAGAGAAAAGATGACCTATGCTCTTGCCAGTTTGTCACCTCTCCTTGTGTGATAATACTTTTTTGGTGGTGTTTAGTGCATTGTTCTGCATGGGACATACTTGTGGTCTGGAAAGATTTTGTTAAAGAAGCATTAAAATAAGAGTAGTGACATACAAGCTGCGTATGTGTGGCTGTAAGTTGGTGTTAGAAACACTGTGGGTGTGATGGTTTACATTAACTCAAGAAAAACCTACAAGTGATGGACTATCCTGTGTGGGGCCTTTCCACATACGTAGACGTGTCCTGTGACATTCTTCTGCCCCAGCTGTGGTGCTGCCGTTGGACTGGAGGGGGTCTCGTTCCCCCTCGCCCAGCTTCTACTCTGTCATCCTCAAGGCTGTGCTAGCGTATAAGTGCTGCCTTGCAGAACAAGAGGGAAGGACATGTGCCACCAGGCCAAGAGTGTGCCTTGCTGTATGGAAAGTAGAACGCGTCTATACTGAGACAGTCATGGAAAGCAGGGGCTGAAAGATGCCTTAACACACAACCTGAGTCAGCTCTTGCACTCGCATTCAACCAACCCTGTGAACACCTCCGACATGTCTGATCTGGTGTTACGCTCCTCATGTGATAATTATCCTACAGCATTCAGAGTTGGTTTGTCACCGTTACTAGGCACTGTGACCATCTCATCATATTGCTGTCTGCTCCTTGTCCGTCTTGCGCTGTAAGGAACTGTTGGTTACTGTCCTATCTAAAAACTACACACCCTTTTCAGACTAAACAAATACAGCTATTCCCACTCATCTTACAGGATCTGTTTCCCATATGTTTTATTCTGGAGTTTCTGCGATATACCTACAATCTTTCCTAAATCAGTCTTTCCCTTTTGTTTGCTAATTATCACGGTTCTCGAGGTTTGAAACAGTAACGAAGACGCAACTTGAGAGTTGAAGAATCAAAACCCTGGTGTGGCTGTACGCATAGGTGAATTACTTAATTTGACTCATAGGTGACAGTTTGAGATCAGGTATGTAAATAAATCAAAGAGCCGTTGCAGAATTTAATTCTGATAAAGCTGCAGCATGGAGCGAGCTCTTGGAGTTGCTGCTCTTGTCCAGCTCTATAGAGTCTCCCGTGTCTTCTGGGTAAGAGACTTGGAGCTCGTAGCCCATGGCTCATCCTGCTAGAGCAGGTGAAAGGCTGCAGATGGCTTTCGCAGCCTTGGTACAGTTTTTTGGGGGTTTAAGAAGGAGGGTGCTCTTTTGGCTGGCCCTGAACTTTGTGTCTAGCTCCAAACGTCCTTTGTCCCTCTGCTTTGCACACTCCTGCTTGTTTTTAAGTAGATCCTGTCAAACGATTCTTGCTTTCTAACCAGGGCCAGGGAGAAATGCCTTTGACTTTGGCTGTACGTCTGGAAACACTTAAACAAAAGCCTGAAGAGCCCTGAAGAACCAGGCCTGAGCTGAGCTACTTCAGTCGGATGCTGTTTTCACCACTGTTAGTGCAGTAGATTAGACGTTAACACGGCACCTGAGTTGAAACCACACTGCTTATGTGTGCCTTTTACAGATGAATTACAGTCACTTTGCTGTCTCTGCTTTGCCCAGTGTTGTTACAAATGCTTTCCAAAATGGCAGGAAATGTAGAAGAAACATTCAGATTTTTTTTTTTTCCCCCTTTTTTTTTTGAGCTCTATATTCACTGTTATCAGTCTATGAAAATTACGGACTTGTGGCTTGTTTTAAAATATTCAACCCAAAGCCCAGTGAAGTAGTGGAAGCGTTGACCTTGACCTTAATATATACCAACTTCAGCCTCGCTATGTAATAGCTGAGGTCATTTGCAGTGCTGTGCAACTCAGCCCAAACATCAGAGGGATTAGCAGTTCCTTTATACCGACGTGGCAGTGAATCTTACTGTGACACTAGCAGATTTTTAGTTGAAAGGTTTGGAAATTGGTCTTGTTGGTGCAATTAATTTTCTCTTTTTCAGCCAGTTTTGTCAGCAGCTCTAAGCCATGCACAGCCTGACAGTCAGCACTTACTGTTGCAGAAATTAAAGATTTTCCATGTGTGATTTGTTACTTGCTTTTGTGACAAGCAAAAATCTTAATCTGAGGTAGCAGCATGCCGTTTGGTCCCAGCATATTTGTTTGTAACTGGTCCAATTTATCTGATTCAGGTGCACTGTGGCCAGGTATGAAACCTGAAAGTGGTTTAATTCAGACTCCATCTACAAGTCAGCACAGTGTTCTTACCTGCACTACAGGGTTAACCACAAGCCAGCCCAGCCCAGCACATTATTCTTATTGCATTGAAGGTAACTTGGCATGGTTTTTATCTGCATCTCTCTCCACCTAATTGAGTCCAGATACCACAATACAGAGGCTTGCACGTTTGTTCTTGGTTTGTGCATGCTTCTTTATGCTTTGTCTCTTTTCTCTTTGTGCGTGTGTATGTGTTTGGTTGGGTATTTGCTACATACCTCTGTATGCACCAGGCTGGCTTGTTGGTGCCATGCTGATGGACTTAACAGGGTGAAGAGCAAATGGGAAGGGAAGAGGAGACTAAATGTTGTATTCTTGCATGCCTTTACCGGGAATGCTTTTGCAGCTCGAGCTCTTTGTTGGTGGTCTTTAGCTTGATGTCAGGAAATACGCTGACATTGGAAATTTTTTTTTTTTAATACACTCACACACAGAGCTTGGTAGATCTCCTAGAAAGTGAATTTCTCAGTACAGAACTAGCCTAAAAATATACCAACTGCTGGAAGTGCCACATCTAAGAAGCCAGGTGCTGAATTTCACCAGCTTTCAAAGCAATTTTTAGGAGTAAATGTGCCATTTAGCTGAATAATGGAATATTGTTGTTTATGGCAAATATGTGCAAACTGATACTTTTTTGCTAGGCAGGATTTTTGCCATTTATGTTTGGGTGATGAATTGTGAAAATTTGTCTCTTTCTCTTCCGTTTTTAAAAAGCATTTCAGGAATTCTTAATCTATTTCTTGTGTGTATTTTCATAGAATAATTCAGGGTCTTCAGGAGATCTTTAGTTCAGTCTCCTGCTCAAAGAAGAGTTGACACTGAATTCAGAACTAGGTTACTCAGGGCTTTATCTAGTTGGGTCTCAAAAACCTCTGAGGATGGAGATTTCACAAATTCCAGTGCCTGACTGTCATCATGGTGAAACTTCTTTTCTTTTGTCAAGTCAGAGCGTCCCCTCTTTCACATTGTGACTGTTTCTCTCCTTCTCCTGGGGTGCACCTGCAAAAAGAGCTTGGCTCTGTCTTCTTGATAACCTCTGTGCAGGTACCAGCAGGCTGCTGTCAGGTCCCCCAAAGCCATCTCTTCTCCAGGCTGGACAGTCCCACTCCCTGTAGCTGCCCCTCGCAGGGCACATGCTCTAGCTCCCTTGACTCTTTTGGTGACTCTTTGCCCGCTGAATTTTATCAGTATGTTTCTTGTGGTTGAGGCTTCAAACTGAATGCCGTATCCAGATGTGGTCTAATGAGTGCCAAGTAAAGGGGAATAACTCTTAAAATTAGCAATAAGTGGGTTTTAGCATATCTTTCACTGATAGGAAGGCCATGCACTATGTCATAGTACTTGCTCAGCTTGCGTCATTGTGACAGTAGATGGCCCAGCGTAATGTTTATCCTTAATTTACTTTTCACTTGTTGACTTGTTGACTTCTTTATAACATGAGCAATACAACACTGGAAATACTAACTTCCTTCAAACATAACTCTCGTCCAGGTACTCCCACTGGCAGAATGAATTACAGTGTTTTATAGCACCAGCTTTAACTGCCAAGGGTCAGAAATGGTTCTGTATAACATGACCCTTGGCAGGTTTGCCAGTGATGTGCCACGGCGAGCATGTGAATCCCTGGGGATCAACGGGGTGACAAAGCCACTGTCAGGCCTCGCTCCGCAGAAGGCTTTTAAAACATTTGATCCGTGCTGCTCTGAGAATGTGTGATTTGAGGACAGTTTCCCTTCAGGCTGCCCTTTGAAAGTGTGGAAAAAGTCACCTGAATTGTGTAAATGCTATCACTTTTCTGAAAAACTTTTTGCAAACTGGCAGGAAACTCTTCCTTTTTTGGATTTGCTGTTTCCTTTTCATCAAATTCGCAAGCAGCCCACTGAGGGGTCAGCTCAGCTAATTTGGGCTGGTGCAAGGGAGGTGGTAAAGCAGGAGCTGGAAGGATGGACGAAGTTGCTTTCTTAGAAAGCTCTTGAAAATCTATCTTTTCTCTCCAATCAAAATAGTAGGGTGATACACAGTTGTACAATGCTGCTGTCCCACTGGAGGTGTATTTCAGTGCTTGGATATGGTTTAGTCTGCAGATGCTGGACTGAAGTAATGTGATACTTGAACCCTGTAAATGGTCAGACGCACTTAGTGACTGAGAATTTTGCTTTTTGTACTCACCTGAGCTATGGCCATGGTGGTATGTCACAAAGGTGCTTGGAAGCACTAGGAGGAATGTGGGTCGTGTGGCTGCTTCTTGCCTTGCCTCTTCCTTCCCTGTAAGAGGAAAGCGGCTAAGTGAGACATAAAATGCATTAATTGCAATTTCCCTTCCCAGCACATGAAGCAGGTTGAAACATCTTCGAAAATGACTGATGCAAAACCAAATGGGATGAATAAGGCAGGGGAAGTAGGGTTATAAGGTCTGAGGACGAGGTCAGGAGGTGGGGGAGAAAGAGAGGAGAAGAGAAAAAGAGTCATGGCAGCTTCAAGGCAATACTTGTGTTTGCTGGTCTTCTAAACCTGAGACCATGAAGTGGTCCCTTTTGGTACATCTGTGCCAAATATTTTTGCATGTTTTTGGCCCATTCACAGGTAAAAGGAACTGACCCACAGCGCAGAAAGAATTGGTTAATCTGTGTAGTGGGAGCTGTTTATAAAGATCTGATGTGTAACACTGTATAGATAAAGGGTAATTAAAAAATAAATGTTGGAAGGAGACCAGAGTTAAGATAAACAATGAAGTTCATATGAGGGAATCTGTGTTTTTACCAGAATCCCAGCACTTGGAATCTTTTTTCTGTGATTTCTTAACTTCTATCTCAGTGGAGAAGCAGCCTCTTCAGAGCACTACAGATGAGAATTGCTTTCTGTTTGCTCTCTGTGATAATCTTGAGAGAGGTGGTAGAATAATCTGTCTTCTAGATAGTTCATCTCCTCCAGCTTCATGGCAGGTTTGTTCTGCGTTAGCGAGGATCTTTTCTGGCTTCTTTGCAGTGCCCTAGGAAGTGACGTTTTTCATAAGGTAATAACAGCCTTGATGATTTCTGTAACATGTATAGTTGGAAGGAGTTTTATTTGGAAACTAACCCCTGTTCTCTAGCAGTTGCTTATGAGGAGTATCTGTGATGGGTACCTTACTCACAGAGCTGTGCTTCTAGTAGCTGCATAGGTACTCTAGGTACTTGAGTATCTTCATTACCATTACTGCTGTTCAGTGCAGCCTTTTTCCCTTTTTCTAAATGTTCTCCCCTAAATTTCTCTCCCATCTGTTTTTGAACGCTGCTGCTCCTATCTATGAGGGGATTCCCAGGGGCTAATTGCTTGCCTTCATTTCTGCTTCTGCAGAGAAGCCACCCTTCACATTTCTCACCTCTTATAAATACTTTGTATTTCTGCACCTCTTTTAAGTTATATTTCTTTTGTTTTTCATCTTTTTTGAGGCATATTTTGGATCCATTCCTCTTTCCAGGAGCTGTTCACCAGGTAGTATCTGTGCTTTGCCATAACACAACATACATTGATTAAGAGTTTGTGGTGGGATCTGTTTCCCTGGGGTAGAAAGACTGAAGCCTTCAGAAGCTTGAGTTCTTCAGTCTTGGGGTAAATTCTGCATGGGTGTTATTTGCAGAAAGTGAGGGCTTTTCTCAGAGTGACGGTAAACAGGTGGTACTGTGGATTTCTGCAAGTCTTTTCATAAGCATGTAAAAGTGATTTTTGGTTTTATTTGTGTGCAGAGAAAGAAGGTTTAGCAAAAGAAAATATTTCTTGGTGGCACCTGGTTTAGTACATCCTGATTTTGTTCGTGCTGATTTCATTATTTGTTTTCACTAACCCTTGAGTGTCCCAAAACCCCATGTGGAGTAACGTTTAATGGAGTGGCCCTGTGGCTGTAAAACCACAAAATCTGCTAAATGACTAGTGTTCCCAGAAAGTGCTCTAGCAGCCTCTTTTGTGTTTTGGAAGAACCGAATGCAGTGACATGAAGGCTATTAAACATCTTAACATTCATACTAACAACTATATGTCTCTAATAATTTGTCCTACAAGCTGTTGACAAATTATTTCAGAAAGTCTCATCCAAAAAACAGTTGTAGTCTCACAGGGATATGGGGAGATACGTTCGCTTTCTGTAGTAGGAAGCACCCTTTTTGTACTATTTGAAATATTTTTACTATTTCCTTAATTTTTTTTAATCTAATTAGACTAAATATGCTAAGTTCAGAACTGATTTAACACATTCATATCCATTTTACTGATTTATTCTGATTAATTTTCAACTGCTAATAATTGAACATCGGAATGTGATTGTTGTCTTCTCAAAACTTTTAGTAAAGACGAGAAACCATTTTAATTGTACTCCAGTTGCTTAGCAGCCATGGAGGGAAAAGGTTTCTGGAACATTTGAAAGTACTGTTTTTAAAGATATGCTAGCTCTCCTTCCCTGTAAGCCCAGTTGAATTGTAACTGGTTTCAAAATACACCCCAACTCTTTTTTGGTTGTTACAAGCAGAGTACTGCTGGAAGCACAAATGCTTGCACATAAGCCTAGTAAGTACTTATTTCACAACTTGGATTGGTCTTGTCTCTTGTGCTTTTCTAGAAGCATTTAATGCAGTAATTCTTAATTTTACAGCATCAACTACCAATGCCAGTCCAGTCTCTACATCCTCAACTGTTGTCAATATTTCCACTTCAGCAGTAGCCAGCATCTCACAGGTAAAACTTCTTCCTTGTTATATTTATGTGCAGCATCTTCTTCACCTTTGTTTAGCACATTACTCAAAACTAACAAAGGAAGGCCAACTATTTGCATCACTTCAAATGGAGCACAATGGATACTAGGGTTATAGGGCTCAGTATGTAACTCAAAGTCTCTCTTTGACCATGATGCTTTTCCCTTTGGCCTTCACAGCAAACTTACTTCATCTGTTCAAAGCTGTTTCCTTGTCTGCAGATTGTGTGGTGAATCTTAAACAGGGTACTGAGATGTGTGCAAGAGAGACAGTGGAGAAGAAACAACAGAACTATTTTGAGAACCAAACCTACAGGGAGGATTATAGGTGGATGTTTTTGGAATGCCTTTGTTCTCCCTCAGCAAGAAAAGGAAAATAGGTTGTACACAAACAAACCAAACAAAAAACCCCCAGTAAAGTAGGAGATGCATTCTGATGCTGCTAGAATAAAACAAAGTCAAAAAGCCCTGCAGCTAGCACAGAGCCCTTCCCCCTGACTGTGACCTGCTGTGGGTAATACGTAGCACTGTCAGCGATTAACTGTCATTCTGAATATTTAGATATACAAAGGAACCCTTCAATGTCACAACCTTGCAGAAGGAGAATATAGGAAGTGTGGAAAATGCAATGGATGCACAAAAATCCTTGTATGCTTATGCTGTTGCTTTTTAAGGTTCTTACATTAACATAAACTTGCTTGGAGCTGTAAGGGGAAAAGAAGATTTTCTTTCAGTAGTGCAGACCGAGGTATCTGGTTCACAAATGCAGGTTGCTCTTTGAGGGAATTGGGAGTGCACAGTGTGCCTGAAGAGTGTGACGTGACATTTGGGGTGGCTGTTTTCTTTGCTATCAGTAGCAGAAACTAAAATCCTCAAGCACAGCTTCAGGTCCTCAGTGATCTCCTCCTAAATGAGTAAATAGTCTTCATAAATGGCTATCTTTCATCACAGCATGCAAAATAATTGCTTGCTGAAGTCAGGACATGAGTAAAGGCAGTTTATCCTGTAGCTCTTGTGGCCGGGATTGCACCCTCAGCCAGTGCCAAGACCACTTTCTGTCACTGTCAGTACATCTGGTATCAGAAAGCAAAACGCAAGACAAAACCACGAATTCCAGAACACAGACAGTGTGGACTGATGCCGTGGCATCCACTCAAATACTCTCCTGTTACTGTCACATCATTCATAATGAATTCATTTTTGAAGAAACTGGAGGCAGGAGTGGCCCTGTGATTGCTGCCCTCCTGTATGCAGAACCTGCCTGTGCAGGGGGCCATTGGGAAGTCAGATCTCTCAACCCTTTTTTGGGATGTCTTACATATGCAGAAAGAAATAGCATGAAGTCAGACTGTGCTTTTTCTGGGATCTCTCTTTGACAGGCATATTCTAGCATAAAGGTCATGTTAGTATAGAATGTTTTCTGAAAGAAGTGTCCTATCATAACCGATCCTTTCCTCTAACAGGAATATCCTACGTACACGATCCTTGGCCAAAGTCAGTACCAGACGTGTTACCCGAGTTCTGGCTTTGGAGTCGTAACACCAGCAGACAGCAACACGGAGAGTACTGCATTAGCAACAACTACGTATCCAACCGAAAAACCAAACGCCATGGTGCCTACGCGGACGGTGCAGAGACATTCCTCTGGTAATGGTTGGATCTTTAACAGGGTGGCTGCAAAATACCTGTGATAAACAGTACAGTGGGGAAAACTTTTTTCCAAAAGGTAACCACGGCACCTTTGTGTGCTGGCCTGGATAGGACATTTGCCTTCCATTGTCAGACTGGTCTCGCTGGTGGGCCAGCCAAACTTACATGCTGGAAGTTTTATACTGCTGCAATTCAGGAGACATCTACCACGTGCTCTGAATGCTGTAGGGAGAGGGAATTCCAGGGGTGACTTGAAGAGTTGCCAACTGGGGACCGTTGATTCTGTCATGTGTTGGGGCTGGGTGTTCACTTGGGCTACAGGGCAGTTGATGATATCCAGTCTCAATAGCTCATGCTAGCTCTTTC